ATTTTATTTTTTTTAATATTTATTTATTTATTTATTTATTTGGGAGAGAGAGAAACAGCATGAGAGGGGAGAGGGTCAGAGGGAGAAGCAGGCTCCCCGTTGAGCCGGGAGCCCGATGTGGGACTCGATCCCAGGACTCTGGGATCATGACCTGAGCCCAAAGCAGTCACTTAACCAACTGAGCCACCCAGGCGCCCCATGATATAATTCTAAGTAGATAAAAAGGCTAGAGGGGACTACAGTTAACGATGACTATCTTTGAATGGTCTTATTACACTTCTGCTTCATCTGGATTTTCTAATTCTTTTGCAGTGACTGTGTATTATTTGTATAATAAAACAATCACTATCAGCGACTTCCCTGGCACACCTTTACCTGTGTGCACCTAACATGCACAAAGAATAGCCCATCCCCTGCAGAGTTATTGGAGTTTACCAGTCAGTCTTCATATAAGACTGTCTTAGTCTTTCTGGGCTGCTATAAGAGAATACCATACATTGGGTGGCTCATAAAGAACACACATTTATTTCTCACAGTTCTAGAGGCTGAGAAGGCTAAGATCCAGGCCCGGGAGATTTGGTGTCTGGTGCAGGTCTCCTTCCGGGTTCACAGATGGCCATTTTTTCCCTGTGACCCCACCCGGCAGAAGGGGGAGGGAGCCCTCTAGGACCTATGTTATAAAGGCACTAATCCTATTCATGAGGGTTCTATCTTGATGACCTAATCACCTCCCAGAGGTCCCACCTCCAAATACCATCACATTGAGGTTTAGGTTTCAACATATGAATTTGGGGAGGGGGGGAGGGCAAAAAACATTCCAAACATTCTGTGTATAGTTAAGAGCAAAAAGAGGGTTATATGCTGTCTATGTTTTCCTCCACAAGTAAAAGGAAATTACATACTCGTATGCTATATGCACGTATACGTCGCATTCCTGTCTTAGTTGGGGCTGCTACAACAAATTACCATAGTCTGGGTGGCTTAAACAACGAGCATTTCTTTTTCATCGTCCTAGAGGCTGGAAGCGCAAGATCAGGATCCCAGCTTGGTCAGATTCCTGGGGAGGGTCCTCTTCTGGGTTCTGTGCTCACGTGGCCTTTCTTCCTGGACAAGAGAGGACAAGAGAGTGATCTCTGTTTCTTCCTTTTATAAGGGCACTAATCCTTTCGGGCCGCTTCATGCTCAGGACTTTATCTAAACCTAATCACCTCCAAAGGCCCCACTTCAGACACCGTGGCAGTGGGGATTAGGGCTTCAACCTGTGAACTTGGGACACAAATGTTTAGCCCATAGCACTTCCCTCACAGCCAAATTAGCATTTGCATTTCAAAAAGAGAAAGTGGCAAAAAGGTAACCAGTCAAGTAACAAGTGAGTTTCTTCTTTAAAATACTTCACCTGCATTGGATAATCTCCATCATGAGGCCATCTGAGAACAGGAAGTGCATTCTTAATGTATTGGTTATAGATAGCAGCGTAGTAAGTTCTCCCCAAAGTAGTGGTATCAAAGGACAGTCAACATCATCTCTGACAGTCTCTGTGGGTGAGGAATGGAGAGTGGCCCCGGGTGGCCTTTCTGGCTCGGGATATCCATCAGTCGTCAGCTGTGGCTTCAGTCACTGAGCCTTGACTGAGACTGGAGCAAACACTTGCCAAGGGGGCTCAAGTTGGTTCCTCCCCAAGGGGCCTCTCTGCTGCTCCTGTCCTCACCGCCGAGCATCTGGCTTCCCTCTGAGTGAGCAACACGAGAGAGCATCCCAGAAGCTGTCATGCCCTTCCTAACCTAGTCTTGACTTACCCACCCCACCGCCATTCCTGCCATATTCCCTTGACAGGCCAGCCCTGGTTCAATGTGGGAAGGGGACCATGCGGGGAGGTGAACCGGGAGGCAAGGACCGCTGGGGGCCAGCAGGGAGGCTGGCTACCACACCTAAGAACCGTCCTGCTGTAGTTTCTCACCTTCTACTGCTTAGCGAGGAGAGGACTTTTTTATGAAATGAAGGTTACCTAGGTACCCTCGTCCTGAGTGTGTCTAAGTCAGATGACTGAGGTGATGTTGAGAGAGGCCAAAGCAGTAGTCACTCTTGGAGAGTCCAAGAATTGTGAAGGAGCAGAATTTGGTTCCAGAAGGGTAAAGAGGGATGCCCGGTACTAGAAAGAAGGTAGAGAGGCCAGAGGGTTCCAGCCTCTCTGATGATTCAAGGCATCCAGATTTAAGATGGAATAAATTGTAGGTGCAATTCCAAAATTTGTTCCATCCAAAGACACTAAAATTGGACAATAAAAAGAGGTTTTTCATTTCAGTTCTGCAAACATTTGTATATTTCCTCTAGGACAGGAAAATGGGACAGTAAAGGGACAGCAATGGGATAGTAATACAGAGGAGGGGCACAAACTATGAGTATCTAACTGGGGTATGTACACAGTTGTTTTTAATTCCTATAGTATCCCTGGGAGGTAAGTGTTGTTATTCTCATTTAATGGGAGTAAAATTGAACCCAGAGGATTTATGGTCAGCCACATAACCAGTTAGTAGGGGTCAGAATTGCACTTTACTTTAAAATAGGTCTTCCCGGCGTCTAAAAATCAAACCAAATTAGATCAGATACAGGTAACAGCAGCCAAAGGAAAGCTGAAGGTGGATGAGAATTAGCCACTCTCCAACATCATCTCTGCCAAGATGTAATGAAAGCGAGTCTCAGACCAAATTCCCCACACATGTATTTTTAAACCACATTTACTAGCAAGCAGGCACAAAACACTGTATCAGTCCGTTTTGTAAACTTGAAATCCCAGTCCTCTAACTTTTAAGTTCTCCTCCCACCACACTGCAGAAAAAGTCCTAGAGTCAGACCTGACTGTATTCCAGACACAGTATTCTGTTACTGTTGGAGTCAGCATCCGGCACCAAGAATCAGGTGATCCAGTGTGGGTCACAGGACCAGGAATCTGGCTTCAGGGAACACACCCAAGGGTGTAGACTGCAAGCTTCATTAGACTTCTACTCCCTGTTCACACAGGGTCACCTGCAAACCTCAAACCCCACAGGTAGTGTCTCTTTCTCACATTTAATTTCCTGATTAATAAGCCATGAATTTCACCAATGAAAACCCACTTATGCTATTAACGAATTCATATCTTAATCAGTGGATAGCTGGCGTTGCATTTGGTATAGTCTTCCTGATTAGATACGAGTTGATCACCCCTGGAGTGTAAAATTTTTACTATCCCTAGGGTTTTTTGTTTTTTGGGTTTTTTTAAGATTTTATTTATTCATTTGAGAGAGAGAGAGCACACAAGCAGGGGGAGAGAAAGAGGGAGAGAAGCAAGCTCCCTGCTGAGCCAGCCAGGAGCCTGATGTGGGGCTCGATCCCAGGACCTAGAGGTCATGACCTGAGCCGAAGGCAGATGCCCAAACAGCTGAGCCACCCAGGTGCCCCCTACCCCTAGGGTTTAATAAACTAAACATTTATATCATACTGTTTACAGTGAAGTGAACTATAAACATCAAAGCAAAAGAGACCTGTAAATTCTTAGCCAGAGAGTGGCTGCAGACCGAGCTGAGTTGAGGACTGACCCCTACTATCACGCTGGTATCCAGGACCGTATTTGATGTACAATTACCGTCATATTGCTTCATGTGTTGGATTTGGTTTCTTAATCACATTATGAAATTCTTGGAAAGAGTGAGTCATACATAAACTTTTTTATTTTTCCACAATGGCTATCACAGTGCTAGATACATATAGGTACATGTGGGTGTAGAATAAATACTTTTTAATGATTAAAATCTACAGCAGTATCTTATAAAATATTTGGGCCTGAGATGTCTGTATTTGCTTTGAAATTCTAAAGTGCCTCAGTGGACTAAAAACCTAATGACATTTAAAACACTGCCTGGCTCACTTGAAATCATTCCATGCAATTTAGGATTGCAATGAGTAATGGAAATGTTATATATATTTTGTATGGTTTTCTTTTTAGGTCAATTCGCAGCCTGGGTTCCAAGATATGTTAAGCTTCATCAGGCGATAAGCTGAAACATAGTATCTAAATATAAATGGTAATACTTGGTTTCGCTTCAGAATTTTTTTAATTGAGTTTGTCCTTTTCCACCAAATTTAATCACATCGATCATTGATCCCTGGGAGACAGAAGTTAGGGCTTGGTTTGTCTTTATTCCAGGTACTGGAATGCTAACAGTTGAAAAGCACTGTAATGTTTGACCCCAAAGAGCATCTATTAAAGGGATTTCATGGGAGGTATGTAGGTCCTTCTTTTTAATATGTAATCCCCACACCTGGCCTCAGGCAGCGCTGCATGTTTGGTTTTGTTAAGCAATAGCCATCAGCCCCGCAGCCGACCTGAAGCCACACCCCAGCCGAGAGGGCTCAGGGCTGGATTTTCCGTTTGGTTTTTAACCATTGCACAACTGTGTGAAGTCCTAAGGACGTGCTGGGATTTTAGCCTTGGGATGTAAGCTTTTGGGGCACCTCTGGCACAAAGAAAGGAGAAGAATCAGCAGCACAGCCCCAGTATAGGTCTGATGAGGTCAGAAGCCCGGTGAGGTAAGAAAATGCTTCAGAAAAAAACACAAAACCGTTTCTTGCAGTTGGTCCGAGAGAGGAAGAAGCCCATATTGATTTACTGCAGCGTTCTCCTACGCAGGAATGCAGCCCATTCGTTTGGGGAAGGAAGAGTTTGAAATGGAATTAGAAAGACTGATCCCATAAATGTACTTTGCGTTCCTTCCAAAGTCACATAAAACCATACAGCAGTACGTATTCAAATTTTAAAATACCGTAGTTGAAGGAACTGTTCTCATGCACAGTTTTAGCCTTAGTGTACATTATGTAAACTCCACCAGGAGAGAAAAACTTCCTACTTTGTTTCAGTTTTGGTTTGTACGTAGAAATACACACACACGTACACACATTCATTTTAGTATTATTTCAAAAATTCAGTGTAGGTAATCTGGTTCAGTGCTCATGGTTTGAGATTTTACTTCTAACATATTTGGGTTATCATACTTTGAAAATTTTTTTCCATTTAGAATGTTTTCTACCCAGGAACCTAGCTTGAGTTTTTATGAAATGGGACAATTTAACAGCTCTGGAAATCTGGAACTCTCTGAGTTTGAGTAATGCTAAACTTAACAATATGTCACCTGGAGTCTTTACACCTTAAAATGTTTCTAGGCTAAATTCTCTGATTTCCCCAGCACCCATTATCAAACTGTCTTCAATAACATGCCACATAAATATATTTATTATAGGTAAAGAGTAATCTTTTTAATTTAATTCTTTTTTAATATTTCTAGCTTTGAGACTCACATGTACCCTTCCTGTGTATTTCCTCCCCAACCACATGATCATGTATTATTGGTACCATAAATATATCGGAAGGCAATGCTGACTCCTAGTTGCTCGATTATACCTTCTGTGCTTGAAGTGCTTTTGTATTTGCCGAAATTGCCTGTGACTTGTCAATCCTACGTGTCCCTGAAATCCAGAATAAAGAATCAAGCTTATAAATGTAGATAAATAACAGGACAAGCGAGATTTTAGAATCTCTGATTTCCTTGAGATTTGATCTGGTTAATAACTATCCACAAGTGGGGCTGTTCTTTTTATTCTTGGAAGAAAATAACCGTCTTCTAGAGAGGGGGGAAAAAAATGGAGCCAATTCAACCTGCTCACCCAACCATGTAGAAGACAGGAGGAAGCTGGCCTCTTCATAGGTGTTCTGTCTGTGCCCTGCCCCCCAAACCCTGCCCCCCCTCCCCCGTTAGTCTTAAATAGATTTTGAAAGGAGGGAAGAGCACAGTGTGCTGCCATTAGGTGTATTGCTCCCCCACTGCCCAAATGTGCCACATGCATTCCGTGCGCTAAATCCTTGAGTTCAGGGGCACCTGGGCGGCTCAGTCGTTAAGCGTCTGCCTTCGGCTCGGGTCATGACACCGGGGTCCTGGGATCGAGCCCCACATCGGGCTCCCCGCTCTGCGGGAAGCCTGCTTCTCCCTCTCCCACTCCCCCTGCTTGTGTTCCTGCTCTCGCTATGTCTCTCTCTGTCAAATAAATAAATAAAAATTAAAAAAAAAAGTTTATGAAAAAAAAAAACCCTGAACAACCAAAGACACTGAAATAAAAATCAATAGGACTTGATCACTTTGAAGTTCTTTTCAAATTGTGATGATTAGAAGAATGATAACGCTATCCACAGAAATGGAATCGTGGTTTCTGCATTGGACATAGTAGAAAAATTGCTTTAATATTGAGATCATACCCATCAGCACAAGACCCATAGCCAAGCCCAGCGTCTGTGTGGGAAGACATTAGAAAGAATGTGGTAGGGGCGCCTGGGTGGCTCAGTCGTTAAGCGTCTGCCTTCGGCTCGGGTCATGACACCGGGGTCCTGGGATCGAGCCCCACATCGGGCTCCCTGCTCCGCGGGAAGCCTGCTTCTCCCTCTCCCACTCCCCCTGCTTGCGTTCCCTCTCTCGCTATGTCTCTCTCTGTCACATAAATAAAAATCTTTTCAAAAAATAAAAAATAAAAATAAAATAAATCCTTTAGTTCGTTGAATACAACCAACCTGTAAGATAGGTATTATCACCCTGAATCCATATATATAAAAATGTAAGCCTTATTATATTTGTACTGTTTCACTTTGCTTTTTAAATGTCTGCTTTAAGGGGAAAAAAACCAAAGAGGTAAATAAAGGATCTAAAGAAGCTGGAGATGAATGTTCTAGGGCACCATATTTTTCGAAGTATCAAAAATTCTTTAAAAGATTTTATCTTTTATCTAAACAGGATGCTCCCAGACCACTGTCTGTGTTGATTTCACAGGCGACAAAGGAGTCGTCCTAACTTCTAGCCCATGATTCTGACCTAAAATACTGACTGTCAGAAGTTACCCTTTGGGGGCGCCTGGGTGGCTCAGTTGGTTAAGTGTCTGCCTTGTCTGCCTTTGGCTCGGGTCATGATCCCGGGGTCCTGGGATCGAGCCCCGTGTCGGGCTCCCTGCTCGGCGGGGAGCCTGCTTCTCCCTCTCCCTCTGCCCCTCCCTCCTGCTCAGGCTCAGGCTCTTTCTCTCTCTCTCAAATAAATAAAATGTTAAAAAAAAGGTTACGCTTTGGGTTCTTTGGGTCCTTGCTAAAACTCTCTGGTTACAAACTTGCCTTCACTTTCTTCGGTATTTCCAGGGAAGCGATGAATGTAGTGATCCTTGGGAGCCAGGTAACAGTCTTCCACAAACTCGAGAAATCTGACCATGACTGGGCTTGTTCTCAAGCTCCCTTTTCCCTCAATCACATTTGAAAATTGCTTCTCTGTTGGAAAGGAAGCAGCTTGCCTGACGGACCCAGGTGTGTTCAGAAAAGGGATCTTTTCTGCCCTCATCTGAACGATCAACACGTAGTCAGTCGGCATCTGCTGTCATTGAAGCAGCGTTCAGGAGCTTCGGGAGCGTTAGCTCTGATCCATAGAACAGCCCTAGGCACAGTGCTGCCCCCCCCATTCCACAGGTGAGGAAACTGAGTACTGTCTCAAAGGCACATCACTTACTTGAAGGCATTTTCTCTCTCACTAAATGTTAATATTCTCCTGGGAACTTAAGCCAGACATCCCCTTCTGGAGACGGATTAACTCATCGCAGGGGAAGTTGGGTCTTGGGGTGACTGTTAATTGGAGGTTAGTGGTGTGTGGCTGAGGGAAAATTGTCTGAGAAACGCATTTGCCCTTCAGGCCCAGAACCCTGAAACCTTGTGCTGGAGCCAGCCAGGGCTGGCTGTTGGATTTGGGAAGTTCTGTGAGATGGTATTAAAAATTAAATTGTATTAAAGTATAATTAATTTATGTTGAAGACAAAATTAACAAGTACTCAAAACTCATCGCTTCCAAATTATTTTACTGTTTTCTGTGCTGTTGGGGATATTTATTGGGACTTCTCTTGTGCCTGCATGGTAGAAATACTGCAGAATGGTGTGCAGCTTACATCTCTCTCCAGCTCTGTGTTCGCTGACCTAACGTGGTGTCTTGACATCAGCCACTGGAGCATCTACGCCGTGGAGAGGAGCAAATACTCTAAATCAGGGCTCAACATAATGTTCTGTTGCTTGACTACACTTAAGAATATGATAAAGAAAATGTTAACTCAAATGAAATGTGGAACTTTGCTGAGTCTGTAGCTGTGACTTGGGAAAAACACAAAAAATCCTGAAGACATTTTTCGTCCGATATTCAAAAACTATCCGATTCAGAAAAGAATTTGCTCGTGTCATGAACAGCCCAGTGACGTTCCCACACATGCGTTCCTTGTTTCACTTTTGTCTTAACTTGTCAACTCGAATCATTCTATCAACTAACATTCATATTAGAACTATAATTGTCAGTTGTAACCCTAGTTTAACTCCTGATAGAAGAGTCTGGCAAAATTCCGTTAAAGCATCCTGTGAAAGCCAATGGCCTACATAGAATTTATAATAGAGAGGATTGCTTTATTGTTATTTACAAACTGTGTTGTGCACATCCTTTTTTTTTTTTTTTTTTTTAATGATAAACATGTTTCTCTATGGAACCAGTTGCTAACTACTTGCCAGCATACCACTGCCTGTGGGGGATCACTGGTCTGCGAACTTGCCAGTGCCAAAACCAGAGAGTAAAATCCATGCCTTACCCTGGGGCACTGACACCCTGTTGGACATCATTGAAATAGTTACACAGCTTTTTATACTGCTGTTAAAAAAGAGACGCTAACAAGCATGCCGACTCCTGTTATTGAATGTTCTGCATCTATCTACCAACAAAAGAGAAGACTGTCAGGAATTCTTTAAACTATACCCCAAACCAGGGCACAGATGAGTGTCTCCTGAAATGTCATGCATTTTGTTGCTGAGTGTACACGTACCTTTTTTTGGCTAATGAAGGTTAATAATAGGATCCGTTTCCAGCTATCTCTGGCTGAAGCAGTAGGATTTTTACCCCCAAAGATGATAAGCTACTGTACATTGCATGTTAGTGTATCACGCTAAGGAAACACTAAGGATGGGGGAAAAAATGAGAATTTAAGGCGGTCTCATATTTACATAGTTGAGTGAATTAAAAGTAGGTTAAGAGCTTATCAATTTCTGGTTTTGTTTTACTTCTACCCTGTACCACTCTCTAGAAATACTCTAGAGATCTGTGGATTGTCACACATATTTTTATATTCTCGTTACTTAAATCTACTTTAATTGGCTTTGGACCGTTTCCACAAACTGGGTTTCTGCATTACATTCCACGCTATAGAAGGTGGGGCTGTCTTGCCTATTTTAGCTTATAAATAAGCAATTTTTCTTTGACCAAACCATATTTTCTTTGAGCAAACTGTAATATGCAAAATTTTGAGAATTGTCATCCTTTTCACCTTACTATTACGAACATCTAATGTTAATGAAAAAAAATGAACGATGGAAGGTAGGTAGGTAGAAAGGAGAGGAAGGAAGGAAATAAAAAACAACTAGGGACCCTTCCAATATTTCGTGGAAATTTTCTTATATAGGATTAGGAATGCTGGAGTAGAAGGGA